CGAAGTTGATGGTGCCGAAGCTCCGCGATGTTGAAGTGACATTTCTGGTACAGAGGAAGACTGAGGACCTGCACCAGGAGGTGTGATGCTGTGTTCTCCGGTTTGAGTCGTGGCCCGCAGGGGATCCCTATGGTGGCGTCTCGCTCGAAGGTGTCAAATATAACGGGTCTACCGGTTAAGTGGAAGCGGTTCCACTTGTTGTGGTGCTCGGTCCTGTTGGTCCTGGCCCTCATGGTCATGATGGAGTTCTCGTAGGTTTACCCCAGGCCGTATTGCTGCTGTGAGTTTTCTCGCATTTTTAGAATGCTTCAGATACTCGGATTTCTTTGGTACGTATACCGTGAACTTTATCGTCGGCTTTACGTTCATGATGATGGCCGTGGAAGCAGTCTTTGCCCGAGCTGTCCGCGAAACACTTCTACTGATTCCTCTCCTCGCCGCATGTGAAGTCGTAAGTTTACGTGAGGTCGTTCGCTATTATGTTACCCTATTTGTGTTCTTTTATTGCGGCTGTCTCATTAGGTTCTGTTCATCGCCACTATGGGAGCTGATAACTTCCAAGACTTTGCTGAGTCTTTCTTTGTGGAGCTCTTACTCAAGATCGCTGATCGTTTGGTATTCGGATCGGTATTTCAATGGATCGATTATTATGCGACTACGGCTATGGAGTGGCTAAGTGAGTCCAAATGAGCGGCTCGATTTATTGAGATATAAAGAAGATATTCCTACTGCCTCTTTAGTCTCGGCGTGCTCTCCCTTTCGTTGTACCCCAGAATTCCGATACGTCTTACCACGGTTTGGTCGCAGTGTATGTGTAGAAACCTCGTCGTATTTGCAGGGACGCGTTCTTTCCTCTGGAGCACGTTCCTTGCTATTGGAGGCCCGATACGCAACCAAACGAATGTTGATAAGATTGATGATATCGGCCGAGAAGTCCCGGGATTGAAGTTCTCTAGTCGAGCAAGGAGGATCTCCGGGGGTGAGGGAATATATTTTCTCTCTATAAAGACGGTTTGCGTCAGCTCAACCGACCACTAGTGATCAAGTCGTTTCCCTCGATGAGAACGAAGATGACGGGCAGGAGCATCCGAGCTCTATAGAAGAGGCCATAGAAGAGCATGTCAGAGGCGGTAGCACAGCCATGAGTAAGATCGGTATGAAGCACGTGCTCTAGTAGATGTGACTCAAACGACTAATCTAATCAACAATATTCTTGATTTGCTATGCAGTGTATGTGAAGTATTACTCTGGTGATGCATATGAGGTGTATTCGACGGATTCCACCTCAATTATAAGGTTATCCAGCGGTAATCTCGTCGACAGTTTGGCCGAGTGGTCTAAGGCGCTGGCTTAAGGCGCCAGTCCGAAAGGGCGTGGGTTCGAACCCCACAGCTGTCATATACTTTGCTATTGGAGTTTTATGTCCTCTAGTGTCTTTTGTGCGAAGACAGTTAGTACCTTCACTTCGTTTCTAATGATGTCATTAGCATCGTGAGGAACAATACGCAGTTCTCTTCTAGGTACTATCTTAGCTCCCATGGTCATAGCTTTCGTTATCGTTTTCCCTACAGCAACAGAGGTGCCGCAGCAATACGATATCCGGAATGGAGATTTAATGTGAGCCTAGACATCGATCGAACGAACCCTCTGAAATTCGAGCCTAGGGCGGCCAATGATGTTGCTGTTCGTACTGTTTAGATACTACATGTTATTTGGTGTTGTAATCGTCCCTTTCCAAGTTATGATGGACATTCTTATGAACCATGCTACTGAGCTAGCTCATGGCGTGATGTGCACTCATTAGATGCATTAGCGTCATTGTGATATCTCAGGTGAAGATCTACGACTATATGCTCTATGCGAAATGGAGATGGCGTAATAGATTGACAAGGTGGCTCTTTGATGATCCTAGGTTCGACCAGAGCATCGGAGAGCAGGTGAGCATCTCGAGGCATCCGGAAGCCTCAACGCTATGTAGGAACTCAGCACTCGAGATTCATCGCGCTTGAATCCACGTGGAAGAATAGTACCACCGATGTTGATCGCAGAAAATCCTCGCAATTCGATCTCCCACATTTTTATATTTTTTTGTTATCTGACTGTTTGCAAGTCCAGATAAATGACAAGCTACTGACTTGTGTCAGGTGCAAGGAGTGAACCATCTCTGCTTCTCGCCGCAATTTTACTTCATCATATCTTATTATACGTGGGGTATGATCATGACCTTGCTCGGCATCACCACATTACTGAGGAAACAGGCTAATCCTTTTGAAGTGATAACGCGTTTTCTGATGGTTGCACCATAGAGGCGGAGGACTACTTACTGAAACATCATTGAAACTTCCCCTGGCTCGCTGGACCCCATGGTCGTTACTGAGTTGAGCTTTCAGGATCCGGCATTCATTTACTACGTAGCACAACAGTACATCGCGAATAGGATACTAAACAGTACCATTAGGTGGATGACATTCCACGTGAGTTGCTATGGTCTCCTATGCGGGATTTTCGCGTTAGGTATTGTGGAAGCCCAGGGATAACGCTTCGGCCAAGGCCTTCGCGGACAGCATCAAACATGGTATTGATCAGAAAGAAATGCAGACCCGTGTGAAAGAATTCAGGTGGAGTGTTTAGCCATCTCGGGAGATCACTTCTTTGCAGGGAAAACTTTTTCCAACGTCATAAAGAATGGATTCTGTCCAATGTTGGCCTCATATTCACGCCGAGGCACAGTCGCCAGAGGTAAGACTCTCTTCTTAGGCTGATGCCATTTGGTGTCTATGTTTGGGTCTTCAGATATCGAGGGCAGCTGAGTGAGATATACCAGAAGTTACTCAGTTTGGAGAGCCCTTTCGAGTGACATTTTATTCCCGACTACATTTCATTTTTCCGGATATGCAGGTACCGCATGCCTGATGAAGACCTTTTCGCTGGTCGCATGCAGAACGGACTGCTAGGTGAGATCGATCCTATCCTGGTTCACCATGAATAACGACCATGGGCAGCTGTAGTTGCGTGTTAGGTAACGAAAACGGAGAATTTCCCTCAGCTGAAGATGGTGAAGAGAATGATTATGAAGTCCTCGGCGATGCACTGGTGAGGCGCTGTTGCTTAGTCTTATGCGGTGACCTCAACTGAGTGGCGATGTTAACGCAGCTCGCTTGGAGGTGGTTCAAATTGTTAGTATGATATTAGAGACACTACGATTGGGACTTTTCGTATGTCACAGTCATCACGTAGATTACTATTGGTAAGAGGCTCACAGAGGATGACGAGAGCAGGGCTCAACGGGAAGAGGAAGAAGCCGTTGATGAAGTTCGCCTCAAATTGCCACAGGGAGTGTCCATGCTCGCCTGGGCGACTATGGAAAGTTGGTACACAGTAGCCCGGCAGAGACTGAAGGTCAGCTTTCCGCTCACTTGCGGCTGGTGCCCCACTTCTTTGTATTTTGGTAGGGCGGCGTTGCCGCTGTGCAGCTCGGACTGCCACCTGCAACACAGTGGAAGGGCCATCCGGCTGATGTTATCGCTCAGAACGACGAGGTGAGTCATCGGGTCACACCTGCATTGTCGGCATCCTATGTACAGATAGCAGAGCTCGATCCTTATCCTGACTGGCTGACGGCAAATATCACACAAACGTCGAAAGAAATGCTGCTACGCTGGGCCAGAGAAGCTCGGTGAGTCTTGGTGGTCTCACGAAACGAGATATCTAATGTTCAGTTCTCGGTTGAGAGATCGCCGTGGTAAGCACTAGGGAGGAAGAGCAATGGTGTGTATGCCCATGATAACCATTATGTAGTCGCTCAGTGTATGTAGTTCCGTGTTGTGTAAGTATCACTCAATGGGTACTACCAATTAGGTAGAAGTTAACTGTACTTTGGAGTAACTGTACTTTGGAGTTGTCGATCACCCACTGCGAGTTTACCATTGGCACTTCGAGTGCGATGTGAATTAACTATGACTCTCAGAAGAATTAGGGCATTTAGTGTTGCTATTGATACCCGCATCGGTCAAGTTGGTTTGCTTGTGAATTTCCACCCACTATTGTTGTCGACTATGACTGGGTCTGTTGCGGTGGTGGACATCACGATAGATCCTGACTCGATGAGGCCCAAAGCCGGCGAGCAGTACATTCAGCTTGTCGGGCTCTCTAAGCAGTCGCTACAGTCGGGCTGGTCGTTGCCAGTCCTCAATAGGGTCCAGGATGTTACCTTTGTGGATGCCGAGTCTATCATGATGCCCACTGATGCCCCAGCAGGTGCCCAAGCTAGTATCTCTGGTACGGTTCTCGCACTGAGCTGTATTCTCCGACCCCGTGGTGGCGCGAGTTCTGTTGTGTGGGTACTTCATTTTGCTGATGATGAAGTTCCGGTTGCTTTTAAAGGAGCAAATAATATCATCAACCGTAGTTGTCTATGCCCTGGCTCGTCAGTGGAGATCGTTGGAGTACTGAAGAAAGGCTCTGCACCAGTCAGCGGCCGACGATGTGAAATCCGTCTAGCAGATTCAGCAGTCTCGATTCGTCGCCTTAGCGAAGGCCACCCTGGGTTGCGAATCAAAATTACTTACGTGCTGGCTGGTGCTGCTATACTGGGGGCTTGTTCAGACGGTAAGTTGGTTTTGGTATGTCTACAGCAATGGTGCCGCTGTCAAAGTGAGGTCTTATGCTCTCGAATGGTTATCGATTGCTATGGTCTTATAGAGGTTCCCAGCAAGGCAATGCCGATATCGAGAATCCTCATGGCGAATATCCACTCGACAATAATCGTGCAGTCGGTTGATGATGTTCAGGACCGGCGGGTCGAGCTCGAGCCTGTCTATAAGCCTGTGACTAAGCTCCCGTCCTCAGTGCATGAGGGATGCCCGTTGCATGCAGTCAGAGCGTTGTGCCGTTCTCTTGACCCACAGGTTGACACTAGAATTGCACATAGCGAGCCGTGTACGAATCCGGCTCTCGTGTTGGGGTATTCTTCTATCCTAACCCGACCTGAGATGGTTCGTCCTGTATGCCATGGTCCATCCATTGTTTTCCGCGAGTTACCCTCTTGCTGGCATCGACAGATTTTCGAGTGCGCGCGGAATATGATGCTAGGAGAGCCGTTCAGCGTGGCTAGTGCACCTCGCGCGGACTCTGTGGCGGTCTACAACCTGGCCAGTGGTTTACACTGTCGCAACTCACTGGGGGTTCATGTCGGGGGTCCGATGGTTGTAGCGAATAGTGATCCGCCTGCTGCTCTCACTGATAAAAGGGGAATAGTCGTGCGCTGTGCCAAAGGGGTATGTTATTTTCAATGCCCTGATGGGACTTTGGGCCACAGCAAGGGCGACCTCCGCTCCGCTCTGTCTGTTATCGGTAAGCTTTCGGACAGGGAGGAGAAATTGGCATTGTCTCATGCCAGCTCACTCCATCCGGTCCTCTATAGTGTTGGAGAAGTCTCTCGTTTGTCACCCTCTACGCCGTTCACTTTGAAGGCAGTGGTACTTTGTGAGATATCGCATAGGAATCTGTCCCGCGCCCCGGATGTTCTCCTCGCTAGCGTTAACGCTGAGGGGTGGGACGTGGCCATCCAGGATATGGCGCCTAAGGGCCAACTGCTGAGGATGTGGATCTCTAGAACACAGTTGAGAAGGGAACTTCCGGTGCCTTCACTCGTGGACATCTCAGACGTGATTGTGCTCGTGAACGATTATGTGCCAGAAAGGCACACGATCGGACCTTTTCGCCCCGTGTTCTCCGTCCTTCTACCAACGGGCTTCATTGAACTACGATGGCCTCGACTTCCTCCTTCGATAGTCCCGCATGCATTGCCTGATAACTTTTGGGTAACAGGACGAGTGTCGTGGCTGAGGGAGGTCAACGCGTTCGCAACTTGCTGCGAGTGCGGGGAAAAGATCTATCTACTTTCCGCATGTTCGTGCTCCAGGGTACGCGTGCTCTCTGCGGAGGATCTTTCTCTGGATGACCTCGACGTCTCATTCGTTGCTAAAGGGGAGATTGTGAGCGATATGGGTTTCTGTATGCAAGCAGTCTTCGTTGGCGAGGCAGCCCTAGCGGTCTGCGCTGATTCCCCGATTACTGGATCATTGAGTGATGGGATCAAGCGTTTCATCATTGCAGACGGAGGAGGAACCGCGATGCTTGCTAGTAGAGAGTCACGGGAATCTAAGTGGGAGCCGCAGTACGCGGGTTTTACCTACCCCGAGCGAGTTTCTGGGAGGTTCCGCTTCAGTGGTGAGCGGCAAGAAGATGGTCTTCACCTCGACCAAGCGAGACTTCTCGAAGAGTCCCAAGGGGGTATCAACGCCAGACTTGAGATGCATGTGTTCCGTAATTTGGAAAAGATGGAATGACGTTTGCGAAATAGTTTCTTTAAACACAATCGGATCGAGTTCAATTATCGAGTTGAACAAACCGTTCAATTATTCATTTTAGAACCTGCATTTTAACGCAACTCCAAACTGAAACTCGTACAACTCAAACTTTCCGTATCTGCCGATTCATCTGGATTCATCTCTTACTCATACGCCCTCACTAAAATGGGATGAGATGTCTTCTGACAGCTATCGCCAATGGCACCTTCAGCCACTACGATTTGAACACATGACGTTAACAACTCCCCGAGACAAATCCAACAAGTAATTTCGTGACTAGCAGACAGGAAACTCTTCCGAGAGAGTTGCAGTGGATGCCAACAGTGATGCTGCTGTCGCCACGCATCCAGAGCGGCATTCTCGTGAGATCTTAATTTTGTTGCACTCGCAACAACACACTTTTCACATCAGCATGCGTATGTGACTCTGGCTCTGTCTCTCTGGCCGAGAACATTGAGAACTTTCAGCTCGACACGAGTGTCCTCAGAAACTATTCGGTACGAGCCAACTGCTCAAATGGCACCAAAGCACGTCGGAGAGTGATAGAGAGGCGACCGCCTCTATGTAGGACTCCGTCTGTCACGATCGAGTCGCCCAAGTCTCGTCCATCTGCCCATTGGGCATCTATTGAGGTATCGTTGAAAGGTATCGAATGAAGATATTCATGGTACGCCTCGTCATTAAAAATCAAAAGCGACCTCGCTGGGAGTAGAACCTGCGCCTCCTGGTCATCAGGCGACTTGCCAAACTGCAGAACGGTTGCGCTACCGAGAGAGATGATCATAACGACAGGATAGTATGCCGGACCATCGGTATGCGGCATGATACCTCCACAGCCTCTCTCATAGTCGTTCACCAATGCATGATTCAACCCTGGGTTGCCATCATTAAAAAGCTCTTTCAGTTGCGGAAGGCTTGTCACAAGTTCTTCGGCTAGATGGTCGAGCAAACCACCACAATCTCCAACACCAATTCGTAGAGGGAGAGTCCTTCGGGCCCCACGCAATACTTTATAATGAGGGAACCTCTGAATAGTCTTCATAAATTCGCCGGCCACTTCTGGGAGCACAAAATCATCTGAGGGGGATTACAAATCGCGATCAAGATCACAGTCTGCAAGACGATTGTCGTCACTGCGAATAATTTATATCTAATGCAATTTGGTGACGATTCCGCCGAACAGTACGACATGTCTATCATCAGTAACTAGTCTAACGAACTAATAACCATTGACTGGGAGAGTAACTTCATGTCTCAGCAGATCTACCAAGCGAAAGTTTCGGTCTTTCCATGTCATCAAATGACTTTTCCGAAAGTTTCGAATTGACACACTCCCGATGGGAAGTGCTTCTATGATTAAGAACAACTCCATACATCACACGGTTCGCCTATCGATAAACTCGTCGAGACCAGAGACATACCAATAACGTAGACTTTCGAGGGAGCGTCCTTCACTCTGAACCGTTCTAAACTGTCTTCTTCGTGTAGTATACCCCGCCGTACAAGTTGGCAGCCTAGCAATGGTGATCGAAAGCTGCTGGACTCGGCAGTCTCGACCTACAGTCGAGAGCAATAATAAGATCAGACCGACAACTCCGTACCCAACACTGAAACTAAGCGATCTTCAGCTCCCGATGGTATCAAATCAACTGATACCATTCGGTTTTTCGCTAAGCGTGAGAGAAATCCACATTTTTTGGCAGACAGTTGTCCGTCATCCCAGCCGACTCAGATCACGTCTCGAGATTAACGATTATAGTAAAGCTATTGAGAGGTAGGTTTCTCGAGAAAAAGGGGAAGGACCAGTTCAACGTGATGCCCTTGTGTAAATTTTTCGATGAGACTCGAAAATCAAGATCGACAACCACACGTTTTTCCAACTCACGTCCTCGTTGTCCATTCGCCTAGTCTTAGCCTGTTGTATCAACTGTCGAACTGACAATATCGTCATGCTTTTGGGAAAAGACAACACTTATCACTCCACACACGAACAGCTCACTCCGCGATGACAAGGAGAGGCGAGCTATGCTACTATAACAATAACATTTCCGTCCGCGATGAGGAACGACGATTGGCATGCTATTTATGTCGACTTTCGACATGTCATTACAACAGTAACATTTCATCATCAGAGAACTACTTTCTCTCTATCGCCAAGGCGTTTTTACAAGTGCCAAGGGCCTCTAGTTGACACTGATAACCAAAATACTAAACACAACACAAATGAGCACTGATGATGTTTAAATCGATGAAAGACAATCACATGATATTGGGGATTGAAAACGAAGAAGAAAAGACGGAAAAATTAGTGAAAGCACCAAATTTTTCGCTGAAGCTGACAGGCATCCACTCCTCGAGGGAATCACCAAGCGTCTTGCCACGTTTCCTCCACGGTTGCCGGACCTGCCCAAAGTCGATGAATTTGCTACTACTAAATGTCAATTGATACATGAATATCAGAGAGCTGTTCCCAACAAATTCCCAAACTACTATCACATAGTTTCCCACAAACTCAGGAAAGACATCACCCATTCAAACCCGAATCCCGAATGAATGGCCGAACAAATTCTGGACACTCCGGAGGAAAAATTGGGTTGGGGAAAGATAGTCTTATGCGCCCTTGGGACGAAGCAGTTTCCCTCGACCCTACTCAGTGCGTTCAACATAGTACAAGTGGAGTATGAGGCTCATAGTAAAAGGATTTCACTATAGTAGTGATAGAATGCTGTAT